CCCCCCCCCCCCCCCCCGCCCCAAACAGCAGCGGTTGGTCTGTTGTTTTGTGAAGGAGTCTGGAATTCAATCCAGCTAATTCTGGTTTGGTTGCTCCTTTGACACTCTGTTCTGCTTGTAAAGTTTGTGTAATCGGCATCCGAAAATGAGGGAGGGAATCTCTCCATGGATTATTCTAAATGTCTGATGAACTAGTTGTGCTTCTGTCCCAGAAACCTCTGGGGCGAAAGGTGCCCAACTTGGTGCCGTTCAGATGCGTTGGACTGCTGTTTCGGAGGCTGCAGAGGGCATCAGATGGACGGAAACTTGGTCCTCGAGTTTTGGGCCTTCCCCATGTGCAATCTCGGAGAAGGAGGCGCTGGGACCAGCAGCCTCTGGCTTTCTGGAACAGATACCAGCACCATTTCTGATTGGGAAATGGCCGTTCCAAAGAGAAACTTGTGTGAGATAGGGAGCCCCTTTAAGAAACGGTGTCTCTGGTGCCCACCAGCCCTTTACCTTTATCCTTCCCCACAACCATCCCCACCGGAAGGAAGAGCAGGTAGGGGAGAAATGGTCTGGATTGCTTTGACTCCTGTGATTCCTCTGACATAGTGGTCCTGAGCGGCTGTTTTGCCGGCGGTGCTTTGAGGAGCCCGCTAGCCACTTCTTTGGGGGGGGGGGCTTCCGTCCTCTTGATTTGTGGGTACTTCCTTGTGGCCTTACACAGCATAGCCAGTGGCACCCCGTGGCCATCAGTTTCTCTGCTCATTTTTCTCGGCTGCTGTGCAGGCACTGTAGCTTTGAAAGGGGGCACCCTCCCTTCCTAGACGGGGCCGTTTCTGTGGCGCGCGAGTTTCTGCTCTTGCAGCAGGTGGCAATCCCGCGAGGTTTTCCTTTAAGGACTTCCTGTTCTTGCTTCAAAGATTGAACACAGCTATGCTACACTTCTGGGGTTGCGTGTGTTTCCCGTACCCTTGAAAAGCAGTTTTCCCTTCCGCCGAGGGAGCTGGCGTGTGCTCCAGGCTTCCTCACCGCGAGACTGCTGCAAAACTCCCACTGTCCTCTGCTGCCACTTTCTTCCTTATCAACAGGCCCTTTGTAAGTGAGCTTTCTAATAATCCAAGGATTTGCAGGGAGTGCTGAGCAGCAGCAACGGAGCTTAGAAACATATTTCCTGGGAAGCAGACTCATGTACAGAGCAGAGCCTGGACTCTCTTAAGCTCCCAGAGGAAGCCAGATCCTCCTCTGCCTCAACGGGTGCCATCTTCCTTACCCAGTTAAATTTCCTCTGCAGCCCTTGTGCCGAATGTGCTGAATAATTGGACTTGCTTGTTCTGTGGAAGCAGCTTTCAGAGGAATGCAGAAAGCCTCGCAAGTCTTTATTGCTCGGTCCTTATATTGCCTGTTAGCACTTTAGCCTGTCCATCAGCAGAAAAATCTAGAAGAGCTTGTATAAATTCAGTAACAAGCAGTACAGTCTCTGCTTTACAGTCTGAAGGCATGACATGAGAAGGCAAAGGAAGAGGAAAGCGAGCAGGCTCGGGCATCAGTTTGTATTGTTAAAAAGTCCCCAGCTCAAACGGACTTCCCATAACTTGCTCTGTGTTCCTCCTTGTGGGGTGACAGCTAGAAGAGGTCCCTGTAGCCTCAGTGGGTTGCTGCTTTGCTGCTCTCTTGGGGCTGCTTCTTCGCAGCCTCAGTCCAGGCGATGTAGCCAGTGTGGTGATGATGTCCTGGGGCCGCACACGGCCAGTCAGATCCAGCAGCTCACTAGCCTTAGGAGAGCGAGCAAAGCCCTTGTCTTGCTCTGAAGAGCCCTTATTCCCACAACCCTTATTCCTTGGGTTGTGCGGGTGAGCTTGTGCTGCAGGGCAAGGTTTCCAGCCTCAGGCAGCCGTGTTTGCACACCCTTAGGCATGAAGGGGTGGTGCCTCTCTGAACCCACAGCCTCGTGTCTGTTTCCCACGTCTAATCCACCTGAGACGAGGTCAGAACAAGGGAGAGCTGGTCCGGCTTCCTGTCCGCCCACCCGCTATAACTCGCTCGCTTGCGATGGCGAAAGAGCGTGTTTCCAGAGGCACAGGGTTCAGCAAGGAGCGCGCTCTCCCTGCGCACTCCTGCGGGTCGCTGCCCAGGGCAGTCTTTATTGGTGACTCCTGAGCTTCAGTCTTCCTTCGCTGCACGGAAGACGCATTTCCCGAAACGCCCTTTGCGCCTGCGGGACACCGAGTGCGGCAGTGCGGCGCTTCTTGAGGGTGCTGGGCTGGGGAAGGCGACGTGGGTGTTCGCCAGGAGATCCCCTCTCCCCTGGCTTTATCGTATTCATTTCATTTCTGCCCTGTCCAGCAGCCCGAGCGCTCTGGGTGGCTTCCAGCAGGCCCCTCCGGCGCAAGTCACGCACGCCAGCCAGAGCCACGCACATTTTGCCGGCCCTCTCCGGGGGCCGAGGCAAAGCCGTCTCCTTTGCCACCGTGGCGAAGGCAAGGCCGCTTGGCTCCCGCGCAGCTGTTCCTTCGGTCCAGGCCTCACTTGTGCTCCATCGGGAGGGGGTCGGTGCCGGTGGTTGCCTGTGGAAGTGCAGGGCTCCGCAGGGCCCTGCCCCTGCCGCCTGCCCTGCCGAGACCCTCCGCCCCACTCGCCCCTCGTTTGGGCTTCTCTCCGGTTTTCTCAGCGCACTGCTCTTCCAGAAGGAAGGCCGGGCCCGTGTGCAGCCAGAGTGCAACAGCGCTGGGGTGGTGAGCAGTGGGCTTTTAACAATGTTTTAATAAATAATAAATAAATAAATAAACACCACAGCAAGGCAAGCGGCCGCCTTGTCCACACTTAGGCCTGATCATGCGGACGGTTCAGGCGGAAGAGCATCTCCGAGCTCCCAGCATCCCCCGGCCTACATGAGTGAGGCATGCTGGGAACTGTGTGAAATTTTCTCTTGTGTAAACGTGCACACGAGTGAGGGTGCTTTTCTTCTCTTTTAGGGTTCTGCCGAGAGCCTTCATCAGAGCATGAACCACCACCTGGTAAGTGAAGATGCCCTCTTCCTCCTCCTCCTCCTCCTCTCTGCTTGCCCTTTTTGGAATTCGGGGTTTCATGGAATGGTATCCGTGGAAAGCTTTATATGCTGCCTCTTCCCCCAAGCTGCCCACCCATTTGGTCTGTCTGTCTGTCTGATTTATTAAACTTCTATTCCACACTGATAGGACTCTATGGGCGGATTGCAACATTACAATCGACAATAACAAATAACAAAATAAAATCACAGTGCACTAAAAAGAGCATCAGTGTAACAATGAGATATGTAATAGCAAAGCAATAGAGCAACAACATACAACGATACAGAGCAATATGCAGCTGAGGCGAGGCCTGATCAATTACAACTCTCTCTTGCTGGAATGCCTCGATTTTCAGCTCTTCCAGATGTGCTGGACTCCAGTCCCCATCAAGCCAGCCGGTAAGCTTTCGGCTGTGCTGGCTTGGAGCGATGGGAAGTGCTATCCGAATGTCACTGGAAGGTACTGGGTTGGGGAACAGCGGCAGGGCTGATGCCACGGGGTCACTCCGGCGGCTTGGGATGGCTTCTTTGGCCCGATCCTCCGATTGCATTGTCTGCAGCGTAACAGAGAGATACGGGAGGACTTTCAGTGGGAGCCGCCCGGACCGGATCGCGGGGGCTGCACACCGAGATGTCCCTGGGGTGTCCAGGGCCTTCCCCCAGCTGTTGCCATCAAAGTCAACTGCTCTGTCACAGGTTCAGGCTAAGTTCATTTCTGCAGAGGGAACTGCCATCTCCCCCCGCCCCCCCCCGCTGCCATTAGCATAAGCAGGGACAAGGCCAGTCAAAGGTCAGGAGAAGTGCAAGTCAGGGCGACCCCTTCCTTCCCGCAGTGCTTTCCAATAGCCCCAATCCTGCAGTGCTGGCCAAACTTTTCTTCTCTGCCATGTTGACTATACAGCTGTAAAACTCAAAGAGCAAGGCCGGGCGTGACCCAAGGGCAGTTGGAGCTGGAGCACTGGAGAAGAATAGGTAGCATTGTTGCTTAAAAACAGGAGGAATAATTGATTTATGTTATGGTACCCAATTAGGCTGTAAAGTAGGAAACTCTTTTAAAGCTACCCTGTGGCTTTGTGGCAGCCAAGAGGAGGCGCCCCAATAAAGGTCATCAGCTTTGCGAGCTAAATTATTAATTCCTTTCATGCCACTCAGGCCTTGTAAACAGTACATAATACAAGACAACAATTGATGCCGTTCACTTATTGGCCAGAGGAAAGGGCAAAGGGCAGGGAGCCGGACTGGCCGCAGCTGGTCGAGCTGACTTTTGTTGTTCTCTGTCGCTCGCTCTCTCTTACTGCAGACCATTTCCCCCAAATTTTGCAGGCTCTTAAACCTCCCTCTCCCTCTTTGCGCCTAAGGACTTGGGGCCAAAAGCACAAGCAAAGCACGTGCTTTGTACATCCACGCCAGGGAGTGTGCATGGTGGCTGAATGTGTCCGAGTCCGATCCTTCCCGGGCAGAAGAACAAGCCACATAGGACCCAGTGGGTGGGTCTGGGGGAGAGGAACCATGTCTTAGAGGTTCTGCTCTTGGAAGAGCTAAGTGGCTCTTAGCTTGAGTAGGGCCTGGATCCAGTTTGCCCGTTTCTCTTTGGGAACACTATGTAACATGGTGTGGTCATTGCGGCGCTGTTCTCGGCAGCGTGCAGGTGTGTCCCGCAGGAGCCATCCTTCCCCCCCTCCTGTTGTGGGTGGCTTTTTTGGCCAAGGCTGTTCCACCATCTGGCAGCTGACCCCTCTTTCATACGGCAGCAGGTAACCTCTGGTGGACCATCTGTTGACTGATGCTACTGGGCTGTGGAAGGCGGCCAGGTTGACCTCATGCCAGCATCAATGTTGGGCTCAAGCCGTCCGCCCTCAGATGCCCACAAAGACCCCGGGAGCGCTTTTGTGCTGCCGATAAAATGGTTGTGCAGAGAGGACTTTGTTTTTTGGAGCCCAAGGGCATCTTGAATCTTGGAAAACACACAAGCCTTTTAAAGAGGCAAAGAGAGCCGAGTGCCAGGAGCCCACGCCTGGAGGAAAAGATCTGCTAAGACAGGCAGTCTAGAGCTACTTCTGTTCCCATCATCCCCCTACCCTGAGCTGTAACTGAGAAGCTAGAGACCAAGGCAGGCTTCTTGGGGCAGGAGAGAAAGGACAGAAGCTTAGTTAATTGTCGCCCTGGGCTTTATCGCCACAGCGCCGCTCAGGGTGCCGTTTAAGCTGTGTAGCGAGATTTTCAGTGGAATTCACCATCGAGCCAGGAGTGCTCCCCTAGCCCTTTGCCCTGGCACTGTTGAGGGACACCCTTGCGCAGAAGGTGGCCTCTGTGGCTCAGGGCTGGGTTTTAGTCTTCAGTCTTGCCGTGGGACTTTCTTCCAAGCAAGTGGAGAGAGGGGCGGTCTCTTCCCAGCGGCTCCTTGTGGGGGTGGTTTTCTTGTGCCTTAAGAAATGGCGACCACAGAATGGCCACGCTCCACGATCGGCGCATGTCGCTTTTGCTGTTCAGCACATGCTTACAGCAGTTCTGCAGCGGCGAGGCTCGATTCCCCACGTGCGCATGCCGTTAAGCACCCGCAGGCGATCTAGCGTGGCACATCTTGGATCCACGTGGCCACTGGACTTGTGGAGCTTGACTTTGAAACATCAGGCGCGAGAGCTTGTGGCTTGGAAGGGGGGCACGGCTAGCTGCTGCTGCGGGGTCTCTTCAGTGAGACGGAACTGGAAAGGGCCCTTCGCGAGTCTCGGGTTCCCCTGCCACCTGGAGGCCAGCTCCACAGTGCGGTGTTCCCTCTGACGAAGGAGCCTCGTTTTGCTCTTCCTTGTGGGGTAGGCGTGTTGGCCTGTTCCAGCAAAAAAAGCAACAGGCCTGTAGTTCAAGACATTTATTTGAAGCTGAAGCTCTCATGGGCACAAGCACACTTCTTCAGATGCAGCAGCTTCTTGGAGAGGTGCGGCAGCGTCGTTGGCGGCGTGAGCCAGCTTGGGTGCGTGGCTCTGTCCCTCCGGGTTTTCCAGCCGCTCGTGCTGGGAGCTTCCATCTGATAAGCTGCTTCTAAAGGCGGCTTCAGGCCAGTGGGGAGCTTGCCTGGACGGATTGCCCAGTGCTGTCCTTCACCGGAGGAGCAGCTGTCTCACAAGATGGGCCTCCCGACTGGCAGAGCCTGGAGTTGGGGGATTCAGCCCAGATTGAGGCATGGGCTGCATGCATGCATGCATCTGAGCAGAATTTCTCCTCCTCCTCGCAGCATGGCCCTCAAGTTCTGGAAGAGTAATCGTGGGGATAAAAGCAGTGGCTTTAGTGAGATACCAGCTTGGGTCAAAGCAGCGCCAAACCTTTTGGACTGTGACTTTAATAAAATGATGCCTTCTGAAGGATCAGCAGCTTGTGCAGCTTTCGGGCCAATGCAAGAACTCTGGGCTGATGACAGAGTGTCTGTCAACTTGTTTCTTTATTTTCTGGTGGATGCCAGCTGGGGGAGCCCTATTTCAGTCGGAGCTGGAATGTTTTCGTTTGGCGTAGTCCAGCAAATGAGCTCCCAGGTGGGGAGACCAGCTTGGCCCGTCCATCAGCCAGAGAAAGCGTGGGAACCGTTAGGTTTTCTGACTGGCAGTGGCCCTGGCACTCAAGCCATCGGAACCAGTGGCTACTGTCCCCGTTGTGTAAAGTCCTTATTAATTGCCAACCCTGAATTTTCCAGTTTCATCGGGTGTCTTAATATTCTAGCATTTTGAGACGGGGACAATCATTCTGGACACAATGCATACCTTTACAAACCTCCCATGAGCCCTCCCTTAGTTTCCCTTTCTAAATGAAAAAAACCCCAACCTTTGAAGTCTTTCCTTAGAGGGAAGATGCTTCAGTCCCCTGGTAATTCGGGTGCCTCTTTTCGCACCACTGGAAAATCCTCTTCCGGATGGGTTGACTAGAACAAAACGTGGTATTTCAGTTACTGATCTAACTGATCTGGGTATTTATCCTAATCTTGGAATTAAGTATGGTGTAGAAACTGCATTGAGTCATGTGACTGGCAGAATCCTTGTTCTTGTGTTTATTTCTTGAATATGAAAAAGCAAGTAGACGAGCCAAACTGGTATCCAAAATAAAAGCTCTCCCAACATTAAGATCAACTCACAGAAAGGGGGAAATCTAAGTTCTTCTGAGACATTTTCTTGTGTGTCACTAAGTTTCCTTTCGTGGTTTGTTGTTAGGCTGTGATTCTGGCTCGGTTGGGACCCACAGAGCAAGATCCAGGTTAGGGCATAATGCTAAAGTATCGGTTTTTGCTTTGTTTACCTACTCATCCAGTGGGAGGAACAAAACGGGAGCCAACAGGCTGTGTGCGTTATCTCAGTTTATTAAGCCAGGATTCTCAACGCGGCATGCACAGTGGCTAATCATGAGAGCAAGGGGGTCGGGTGCCTGCTCCAGCTCGTTGGGGCAGAAGGACTTCTATTTACCTGTCCCAAACTCTCCTTTCTCTTCCCAGCTGCAGATGTCGAACAAATGAACTCACCTTCTCTGCTTCCGCTCACCCCCGGTAGTAAGTACCATTTTCTCGTTCACCTGGGGAACCTGTCTTGACGGGGTGTGCGTGTGCTCTTTAAGTGCTGGGGAAACAAGAGCTGGCTTCCACAGGTATGTCTTGCAAAGAGAACTGGGTTAAGAAATGCCCTTTGCCCCCACCATGGAAGCCTTTTCAAGAGCGCCGCCGCTTATCGGTGGTCCTGGGGCATCTGCTCCCGCCACAGACCCTTGCCAGTGAATCAGTGCTCGGCAACCCGTGCCAGCTGCCGCAGGGGCCTTCTCTGGAGTCCCGTTGCCGATTCGGCAGCAGCTCTCCACTAGGTGGCAGGCAGCGTCGGCCAAGAGGAGCCCACGCGCGGGAGGGTGCGTTGCACGGGGAGCTGAGCAGCTGCCGCGGTTTCGTCTTTCCGTCTGCAAAGGTCCCATGATTTCAGGGAGGGGGCTGTTAGCAATGGCAAGATGAGCATAGGATTACCCTGCCTTCCTGGGGCAAGAGCCCCCCAGGGTTAGGGTGGCTGCCGAGACTGTCCCCATCGGGCAGCCACGGCGGTGTCTGCCTCCTCTGCTTTAACTGGACGTGGGCAGCTGGGGAGAATGTTGCCTCGTGCTCTTGGAGGGAGACCCACAAGTCGGTCTAGAGGCTGGGCGGCGTGTCCCGTCAGCGTCTTTGCTGTGACCTGGTCCGCAGTTTGCATTCATTGGCCAGAGGGCTTCCTGAACCCCAAACCCACCGACAGCAATGAATGTTGATTGCAGCCATTACCCAAGCGGAAACCTCTCTCGCCTTCCCAGCTCTGGTGCCGATTCCGCTCCCTGACCACAGCATAATGCTTCCACAGACTGTTTTTTAGCCATGTATTTTGACCTGAAATGTTACTGCTTAGCAAAGAGGTGGGACCAGCAGCGTGCTCAGCAAAGTCACGGGCGCACACCCTACTCTGCGACCTTCCGCACAGAAGTGGGAGTTTACAGTTAACTGTGAGAGGAAGGGGCCGCTTTGCCTCGTTCGTTCAGGACGCACGGCTGCCTGCCTACTCTCGCCGTGGACCTTGCCTTCTTAAGGAGGTGCAGTGGAGGTCAGACTTTTGCCAAGGCCTGGCGGTGAAGGGCAGCTGCCACTTTTCCCCTTGCAAATAGGTACACCTATTTGTGTGGCCTTCCTGCGCCGCCTGGCCTTTGGAGAACAGGCCTGGAATGCCCCAGGCATAACCGGGCAAAGGGGGAGTTGGCTCCGAGGGACTCGGCCTGCAGTGTGGGGGCCTGGGGCATCTCCTGGGGAGAAAGCAGGTCAGGGTGGATGGGCCAGGGGATGGCCTGCCCTGCCCCGTCAGAGCCTGCCCTGCCCCGTCAGAGCCTGCCCCACAGCTCCCTGGAGCGAGGTCTGGGCAGTATCCTTAAAAGGTGGACAAGTCCAGCGGGAGCTGAGTCTTGCGTGGTGATGTGGTTTTGCCCACTTCAAGAAGTCTTGTCATGATTTTTCTTGGATCTGTAGGTTGCGGACTGGGACACGGGCTGGTGGTGCAGGAGGGTCAGACCTGTGCCCATCTGGCAGACTTGCCTCCTGGGGGCCCTACTCTGGCCCTCAGGGCATTCCCAGGTGGCCGTGCCCGCTTCCCCATGCCCCACTCTCTTCCCCTGGGTGCCAGTTGTTTGGTGCTTTCCCAGCTCTGCTGCTTTCCCCCTTTCTTTACAAAGTTGACAGCTACTGGCAGCAGGCATCTGTTTTAGCTTAAGATGGTTAAATTGAAATAGGCTGGCATTTTTGGCCCTGCCTCCTTGCCTCTTGGCCCACCCAACGCTGGAATGCGGGCTCCTCAGAGCTTTGCTGCAGCTTGGTTCAGCCCTGTGCAGAAAGAGCCCTGACACGCCGGAGCGAAGGGTTAGGCCGTCTGCGCCCCCCTGGCTGAGCACGTCACCCCCACTGCTTGCCTCCCATCTGAGTCCACAGACCTTGTGAAATGGGTCAGGTGAAGATTCTCCGTGTGCCTGTGATCAACCTCAAGGTACAGTCAACGGTCGATGGTTTACTTTTGACGTCAAACTCACCGACAGCGTTGAATGTTCTCTGAAGCCATCTTTGGGCCATCTTCTGGCTGCCGGTGCCCTCATGCCGCAGTGGGGCCACAGCGGGGCCAGATGAGCCGTGCCCCACAAGCACCTGATCGCACACGCAGGTCAAACTAACTTGGCGCACGCGCTCTGTGTGTGTGTGTGTGTGTGTGTGTGTGTGTGTGTGTGTGTGTATTTTGCACTAGCCTTCCAAATTGACCTTCGTTACATCTTTCTGCGTTACGGCTTTTTGCTCACTTGGCCGTCCTCTTAGATGCTTGCTGGTGGGGATCTCTCCCACTTCATCTTTGGAAGGAAGGAGCTGCTCTCGGTGTAGCCAGTCTGGGAAAGACTGACTCTGGTACCATTTGTAGTACCTCCTTCACGGAGAGGCAGCCATGTGCTCCTGATATGAAGGAGGGGGACCCCCCCCAAAAAAAGAGGTGTGGATAAATGTTTTTGTTCTCGGGGTTTCTCCTGCTGCAGAAGATTTACAGTTGTGAAAGGCTGGGGCAGGGGGAACAGAAGCTGGTTCTAAAGTCCGTTGGCTTTAGAAACGTCAGTATTCAGACAGCACGACTGCTCCTTTGGGAGACTTCCAGGGGATGGGCGTCAGGGTAGTTTCTTCTGTGTCGAAGCAGGACCAGAAGGAGAAGGAAGGAGTGGACTTCTGGAGACCAGGAAATCTTGCTGGCTGGTATCAGAAAAGGCTGGGGTGGGGGCCCGAGACTACAGGCCACGGGTGGTACCGGGCAGCCGTGAATCCGTTCAGTGCTTGCCTCAGCTTTCTCCAGGAAAGTATTAATCATTCCCCCATTTCAAAGGTCACTGAGGGCGTTGTCCATCCGTGTGTAGACGGGAAAAAGGCCTACAGCTCCCAGCATGCCCCTTTTGGCTCTGCTGGGAGTTGAGGGCCTTTGCACCATTAGGGGGTGGGCCAGAGCCGCCTCTGCCGCAGGTCCTGCTTTGCTCCCTCCTTCAGCTGCAGAAGGAAAGCTGCTTGGTGGTGAGTAAGTGCCGACTTGAAGGCAGGGTGCACCGTAGTGCGCGTGCTTCAGGCGCGATCCCAGGTGCTCGCCCAGCACCTGTTCAGGATGGAAAAGCGGCTGCCTTGAATCCCGGGATTGCTGGTGCAGCAAGTCCTGGTCTGGATGAACCGAGGGCTTGACTCAGTGCAAGGCAGATTCTGGTTTCCTCGCTGGGAAATGTTGATAATACACCTTGATGTGCAGGGACCTTTCTCTTAGAACGCCTGCTGGGATATCGCCGGGGCAGGTGGGGAGGGAACGTTTGTACCTGAAAAAAGACAGACTGCTGAAGTTCCCGGCACAAGCCCTCCCAAAGAGAACTACCCAGGACCCGGCGCATTGCAAAGAAGTAGCTGGAACGGGCTCTGAAGAGCTTTCCAAGCTGTAGCCATGCGCGCAAGCTTCCCTCTCATTCCAGGGACTTCCTGGGATGGGAGAAGACAAACCCGCCCTCTCCTTCCCCACCAATAAGCATGTTTTGCAATCCTCTTGCCTCTTTGAGCAACAAGTCGGAGCCAAATGTTTCTTGGGCGAGCAGAGCTCTTCCCCGCTTTGCCCAGGCCTGGCGAGTCCTCGTTACCGGCTCGACTGGCCCCCAGGATCTTCGCACCACTCCCCCCCCCGATGCACAAGGGCCGAAGTGAGGTGACACATCCCTGTGCTCTCCTGATTCGTGCAGCTGCCTCCATGGGGGCCCTGGCTTCACATCCAAACCTTTTCTCCCTTTGTATCATCTTACGAACCGAGCTGAGGACCTGTTCCTGATTCCCCTGCTGAAGATCTCAGGGGCTCGCCCCTGTTTTCCCGGTCCGATCGGCTCTGGAGCACATGCTGCAGCAACGGGAGCCGCCGTTGCAATGGCCGGGCGGCGCCTGAAACGGGGCCTCTGGCAGCCTGCGAGCGCCAAGCCGCGATTTGCTCGTGCGCCAAGTCGCGCCGGTCGCGCGGATGCCAAGCTGGCTGCTTATGTGGCGGCTAAATGGGATTTCATTGCTGGGATTCCCTCTGTAACAGATCCCGTTGGCAGAGGATCCTCCCCCCCCCCCCCCCCACCCCAAGCTGCACCGCAGGTTCCTCAGCCAGCATTTCATCATCTCTGGAGAAGCGGAGGAACTGCTGAGGGCCAAGGCTGCTTGAGCATTGCAGAAACAACAGTCCTGTAGTGCGAACAGGAACGGTGGGGCGGCTTCCCGGGTTTTGTCCTTGGGGCAGCGAAAGGCGGAAGCTCTCAGGGGCACGGGGGCCCTTTGCTGCATCCTTGCAAGCCTTGCACCAGCTCCGAGCAGGGTCTTCCCTCGAGGAGTGACATGGGATGTGCTGGTCTCCTTGGCAGCCAAGGCTCACCAGGTTTAATTTCCTCGCCAGTTCCTACGGTTTGATATTTTTTTTCCCCCTTAAGAGCTGCATTACAGTTGCAGATTCTTATCAGATTGGGCTGTGAGAGGTACAAAGGAGAGCTTTATTTTAAGAACCGGTTCTGCAGAATCAGGAACCAGATATTTGTCACAAAAAGCTCCCATGCTGGGAAGGGGATGGTGAGATGAACTCCATGTGTAAAGCCAGATGTCTGATCAAAGGATTTTCTAAAATTAATGTTCATTGAATTGGCTGTTAGGTGTCTGGTGCCTAGGCCTGCTTAGGTGAACCTCCTCGTTCGTTCCCTCATTCACCCAGGCCCTGGATTCCAGGGGAGGGGGTGGGCAGCTTGTCACCCTCCGGACGAGGTTGCGCTGCTGCCCCGTCCTGCCTGACAATTGGCCGTGCTGGCGGGGGCAGATGGGCATTGCATTCCAAAACCCTTGTGGGCTGCACACTTCTTAACCCCGAGTTAGGGGGATGTCTGGCATGGAGAAACAGTTTGGTGCTGCTCCGAATTCCTTCTGGAAGGGGCACCTTGAGCATGTTTTCAGCTAATGGGGGAAGGACAAGGAAGAGGATT